CTTGCTGAGTTTCTGAAAGTTTTTTCTGTCAGAAGGAAGCAGCAGCATGGAAGGGGTTGAGTTACTACTTACAGAAGATGGAAGGCACATACTTACTTATGAGAGACATATCCTGGAGCAAAGAGCAGGGAAACAGCCTCTGAGTGAATACAAGCTGTCTGTAGGTTTCTGTTGTTTTAAAAACATGTGATGCTCTGTTTGAAATAGTTCCTTCCCTTTCACAAACTGCCAAAAAGGTAATCTGCTGCAGGGCTTCTTACCCAAGCAAAATGACCAGGAAAGGTAAAGTAAAGAGGAATAGGACTGTAGAGCAATAGTGACTACATAGCTGCCTTTCCAAAGGGAAAATGTCCTTCTGGAATTGTGCCCACAAGAGGCATTACACTGAACAGTTTGTTCTGCTTTAGTTGTGCTTGTTTTCTTATGCAGACAAGTGGCATCATCTTTGTCGCTCTTGCAGAGGTGACATTGGTATGAGAGAGAAGAATTAGGGAAAAAATAAATGACAAGGGTATAGGTTTCCCGTCAGTAGAGCCCATCTCCAGTGTATTTTACCCCTCCTTAAAGGGTGGACACAAGGGACAGGGAGACAAGGTTTTAGAGACCCAGTACCAAAACCAGCCCTCTGTTTGATACAGGCTGCTGCCACATTTTAGATTTGTAACCTAAGAAGCCACATGGCTCTGAAACACTGCAGGCAAATCCTAAAATGAAGGTCAGTTCAGACAGAGAAGTGATTGCCCTTTTACCCGTGGCATAATGGGGCAGACTGGGGTCACTGCAGCAGATATCTCTAGCCCGTCCGTTTTCACGCTGATGTCAGAGGCACCAGCTGATTTACAACACCTGCAGCCAGGCAGGATTGGTTCAGTGCTGGAATGAGTACACGTGGGAAAAGCAGTGGTGTGGGGCACTGGCAGCTGCTGCCTTCTACATCGTCTTTCCCAGCTTGGACTGCTTCATCTTATAAACCCTTTGAACAGTACGTAATGCAGCAGCATGTATTTGTGGTGCCTTTCATATTCAATAGTATACACACATTTCCATATTTCTTCTCTTTCTGTTGATAAATAATCTGGATACTCCTTATCCAGGTACAAAGGACAGAGTGAGTTCCATGCTGTGCCTCAGCTTTTCTCCACAACAGCTCTGTCCAAAATAAAAATTTAGCCACAGAAATGACACCAAGAGCTGCTTGTCCAGTATTCCCTCTGTGATTACGCTGAGGAGGAGAAAAGGAGGGGCAGCAAAAACAAGCAGTATGAAAACACGACTAAATAGTAGGAGAGAATAAACCTCTTTACACCAAGACAAGTGGAGAAAGTCAGAAGAGTAGCTGTTAGTGAACTGCAATTTGTTCTTTCCTATCCTTTGCCCAGGGAAGACTGTAGTATTACCATGGTACTCTCCAATGTTTCAGCCTCTGCACTAATTCTCCATGCCTTTCTCCCTCCCCCCATCAACTTCTCCTACACACCAGACGTAAGCTTTATCTTCATCTTTTAAAGCAGCTTGAATTGCCATTTCAGACCCTCCAGATTTATGGTTAAAATTAAAGTTTTGGCAAGCTTCTGTCACCACATTGCCCATTACTGTGGTACAATATAATGTAATTAATGTTTTTATGTTTAAGGAAGAAGAGGCACATATGTTCCTCAGCTGCTGATGAACAGATTTATAGGTAACACATCTGAGTCAGTGCCCATGTTTAGACATTACCCTGACAGATCACTAATCATTTTCTAAAAGCTGTGCACCACTGCCCCGCTTCCCTAGATTTGCAAGCAGGACTGCACTGGGATACCGTAGTGAGATGATAGATTTCAGGTGACACAAGGGGAGGAAGCAAAACATCAGTAAATGTTTCAGCATATCTATCTCTTCATAAGCAGATGTTCTAGCTTAACACGTACCATTAACCCGGAGTACAGTGTGTGCTTTCTTAAAGAGAAATCCAGCCTGCTCAGGGTAGGCAGCTTGGAAAGGCTCCCTTGCCAGCCTGCGTTCTGTCCCCAGAAACTTGAGCCAGAAACTTATTCAAGCAAAACCCTCTCCATGAAAGAGTGGAAGCTGTCTTGCCCTCAGCTTCTCAGGAAGTGTCAGCTTATGGCTTACATGGCCCTGATCCATCTCTTCCTCCCATTCCTGTTTTGATTACACAAAAGAAAGCCAGAAAGAACAGAGGACGTACCCATCCCTCCTGCTGCCTCGGGAGGTCGTTCCAGGTGTCTGCCAGAGCACTGTCCAATATCTTTGCTATGAGACAGAGGCGTGCGTGTCTGTCACAGCTTCCTGAGCATCCCTGCACACCTGTGTTGAGTTGGCCATGATGCATCCCGGGGCTGGGTGGCCATGGCCAGCTGCTGGTCTCCTCCCGGCCGGGCTCTCCCTTGCCTCTCAGCAGGACAGGGGAGAGAGTAAGGTGGAGATGCTGGTCAGGATAAAGGCAGGAAGGTCACTTACAAATTACCATCTGAAGCAACAAAGACTCAAGAAATTAAAGAATTAATTTATTGTCAGTTAAAAACAAAGCAGAAACAACAAAAACACGTTTCCTCTAACCATCCTTCTCCCCAGGCTCAGCCTCATGCCTTCCCTCCTGACCTTACCTCCCCTGCAGGGCTGGACATGGGGCTGTGCCTGCACCTCCCGGCTGCTCCTTGCGCTGCTCCCCCATGGGCCTGCTCAGCCTGCAGGGGAATCTCTGTGCCTGGAGCCCCTCCTGCCCTGCCCCGGCTGACATCTCTGTCCCCTTGGCACCGAGGGGCTCTGCTGTGCCCTGCGGGGCCTGGAGCAGGCTGGGACCAGCAGCGGGCAGCCTCAGGCCTCCTCACACAGGCTCCGCCATGGACACTGCACCCCAAGGCACACAGTAGGACCAGTACAATGCTGCATTGCTAATGTGAAACAGGCTTGCAACTAAATCCCGATGGATGATTGCAACTGCAGAGTGCAGCTAAGAAATAAGCTCTGGCTACCATTGAAGCTACGGCTTGTGTGCACCTTCTGCTGTCTTACCAGGTCATAGTCTGTGAGGAACTTACTAGAAATATACTGATGGCTTTCCTGGTCAGTGAATTAAACATGTAAGATAAAATTTTCAGAAAAATAAATAAATAAATAATAATAAATAAATAAATATATATATTAAGATATTTAAGTGAGGGAAGCAAAGCTCTTGCAGCAGAGAAAGATCTGGGGCTTGTCTCCTTTGTACCTCAGTCAAGTTTCCCTTTGTTGCCTTTTATTATTATTATTATTGTGGTTTTTATGTGTGGTGTTTCTGTGGACTCCAAAAAGGGAAATCAGTGACGTGGGAACTTTCTTTCCTTTGCAACACTCTCTTCAGGTCCTTTAGCCTAAAGCCTTTATCTCTGTCACCATTCCATGATTCTATGGTGGGGAAGCATGCTGTGGTAAAAGGGCGTCAGCCCGCTGTCCTTCAGAGCACACTGCACCTCTTCATTCAAGAGGTGCAAGTCCTAGGTCTGTTTGAGGGATTTAAGTAGCTTAAAAACATCAGTAAGTCTTCTACGCATACAGCTAGGGGCTGCTTATGCATTTTGGTGAGTCAGCCTCTACTTCCAAACACAGGCTGCCTTTCAGAGCCCAATGCATTCAATCTTCTGACTACTGACTTAATGGCATTAAGGAAAAATAACACAGTTCAAGAAAATCTTTGCACAGAGCAGATTTGTTAACCTATACTAAAGCCCATTCTGGGCACTCTCATTCAGAACTAAAGTGGCTTTAATTCAAGTTGGTGTTTGAGTTAAATCTAAATTAAATTTGAATTTAAATCATTAAATCTGTGCAGGGATTTAGTGTGGTTTACATAATCAATTTTAAGTTCATACCCTTCATTAATTTGGATGACTACCATTCAGTCTTTGCTTACTTAAAAATAGTTCTAATGCATTTATTAATATTATAATAGTCAAACTGGGTTATTCGTGTAGGAACAAGGAGTTTGAGCTTTCTTTGAAGTTCCACAAAATGAGAGCATATTGCTTAAGAAATTAATTTTGTTCTCATGTATGTTAAGGGCAGAGAGGGCTTTTAATTCCACTTAAGGAGCTTCTGTGTCATGGCAGCCAGTGAAGCCCAAGGAGCACCCACATGGCCACGCAGCCGCCCTTCCTGAAGAGGGGCAGCATCTGCTCTGGTTCAGGGCTATGTCCTGCCTGCACCCTGTTCACTCTTGCCCTCTCCCTGCTTTAGTCCTGGAAGTGTCCCCAAGCTGGCGTTGTGTCGTGAAGACTGTGTTCAGTAGGCGGTGGTAGGTCTGCAAAGCCTCCTCAGCAAATGTGCTCCCTCAGCCCTACACAGGCAGGCATAAGCATGGCTCCAGCCCATCTGCTAACCCACCTCTGTGTTATCCCCTTCTGGAGGCAGGGACCAAACTCAGTGGTGTACAGCAAGGCTGGGGCAAGCGACACAACTCCTACCTCCTGAAGCGAAGTGCTAGACTCCAGGAAGGGGGTTATGTGGGCGCTTTGGATCCCTCTCTGCCTCGGAGATGGAAGAGCTTTTGAAAAACACAGCCTTTGGTGTAGAAGTCCCTACTTTCTTCCCTTCTCCATGAAATGCCAGACATGTTTGATTTAAATCCCACCTGTCACTAGATTTGAGAGGAATGCGTAGTGGATTCATTTTACAATATCAGAACCAGCTGCTCACAAAAAATAGCTTTCACTCTCCCAAGGTCTACTAATCATTTCAGGAGACAAGCATAGAAGAGGATATCTCAGCTGACACTGGAGAGCACAAATGTTGACACAAATATGAATCTGAATTTTCTGACAGTAGTTGATTGTGTTGCTTTAGAAGGTTTAACAGACATGCCACTCAGCCGACAAGACCCTGTTTAATGCTTCACTTTAAGTATTTGTATGATCTTTGGGGTTGTCAGTTCTGGGAATTACAGTTCTTTGAGAGCAGTTTCGGCAATCTCCGTGTATGTTACACAGGGAAGAGTACAATATCTGTTTCTTTTTCAGGCTGGCCTGCTGGTAATCTGCAATCCCATGGCATCTGCTTTCAAGGGCGGTCAGTAAATCTTTTTAATTCTTTTCCCTGCTTTATAATAATGGCTAGTTTTTGTTGGTACCAAGTGCTCGTTACACCAACCAGGTGTGTGCAAAAGCAGCAGTTGTGTTACATGTGGATGTGTCCCATCTGTGTGCTCCGGAACTGCATCTCTGATTGCTCGCTCTTACTTCAGAGCCTCAGACCGAAAATCCTATATTAACCTGTTTTGTACAGATTTTAATTTTTAGTGGATCAGGGAAATCCAGTTTCAAACAGTTCAAACAACATTTGAATATTTTTCAATATAGTCTTTTCTCTTTTGTTCAACAAAAGATACTTGGCATGAATTCATAGTCATAGGACTCCTGGAAGCATATTTTGGGGCAAACAATATTCAGATGAAGGAGTAGCTTGTTTCTAACAGAAGTAAACTGCTATGTTACACTTGTTAGGATGCATTTGTATGCTGTTTGCTTCTGGGGATCTGAAATTTCATGGGAATGCAGTGAGAATGATTAAAAATTAAACTTTGTAACTGCTTTATATGTTTGGCATTAATATCATCTTTCATTGTTTTCTAATAGTGATAATTAGGTGTTGCATTACTCTAGGGTAAGCCTTGTAGCACCCCTGGGAAGGCTTTTATGCACAATATAAATACTACTGTGCACATAAAACTAAATTTTGTTGAGAAACATCCTCCGTTGGCTTTGCTTTCTTAATGTTTGCTTTCACCCTTTTCCTCCAGACCCAGAAGATTCTTTTAGAATTTCCCTTTATCAGCTTCTTTTTATTCCTTCTCCACCTGAGCTGCCATTTATCTCAGACCTTTCATTCTGCACCAGTGTCATCCTCACCACATGGGTGGACTTAACCAAGCAGTTAATGCTATTACAGTGCTGGATCCTCCTGTACTGGGCTGTTAGTGCACATCAGCATCAGCAGGGACGGGAGTCTGACAAGCACGTGGGAACTGTCACATAGGGACCAATGTCTGTTGGTCTGTAACTGATATGCTCTCAGTGTCCTGTTAGAATAAATGACTGTAGAGGCAATCTCTCCCCACAGTAAATCTAACGGCAGACATTTGAAGTGCCTAATGGTAAGAACTACGAAAACTGCATTCAGCCTGATTCAGGGGCAGGCTGGGCCATCTCTGCGTTGACCAGCACCTTCCGCCCTGAGGAGTCCTCATGGTCACTGGTGCTCTTTAGCGGGGACAAAGAAATAGCAGTCTGGCTGTATGTAATAATAATAAAAGTAATCATAATAAAAGTAGTCATAATAATATAACAATAATAAAAGATAGGCCAGTATTAATGGAGGTAGGCACATTTTCAGCATTTCTGGGCATCGAGATTTTCGCAGCCTAACTTCCAGTTTCCAGTTTAAAATTCCTGGCTGCTCCATGATAATCTGATTTCTTCACAGATATCTACACAGAGACAGTCTATAAAATGTCCCAAAGTAAGTGAATATTCAGTTCTTCCCCTGCCTAGAGTTATAGACATCGGAAAGTTAAATAGATAAGTTAAATACTTAGTGAAGCTGGGAGAAATTCAGTAAGAATAGTGCTGTCATATATGCCTATTTTAGCAATTCTTAGTCATGATTCCTGGATGTTTTAAAGTAGGCCGTGCCTTCCTACTTTCAGGGCTTACAAGACTAAAAAATTCTCTCTAGACAAAACTTGGTGCAGTAGTGATGTACAATAAAGAGGCACCCTGGAGCTCCAGGTATGTAGCTGATCTAAAGGCCTTGACAACAGGGATACTAATTCTAACTTTCCACAATAGGAAAATAGAAAAAGTGATAATAAATTTAAAGCTACAGGTAGTAACTGTCTGAAAATGGATTGTAAAAGTGAGTCTTCAGTATTAAAAACCCTCTTAAAAAAATAAAAAATAAAAAAGGAAAGAAAATAAAAGAAAAAAAATAGATTGCTGAATGTTATTTGTTTAGTATTATTATTGTAGCTGTTATTGTGGTGATCGTCATGAAAGCCTGGAGATGAGTGACCACCTGCTGCTTGTGTTGCTGTTCAATTTGCAAACAGTCAAGTACCATTTGGTTTGTGCCAGCTTGCTGCATTACTTAGCCATAAAAGATATTGTGTAACCTAACAGCAGCTTTTTAACTAAAAATAGGTGTTCTGCTTACATCCAGTAGAAAAGTGGTATTTAGTGATTACAATACAAGGTATTCAGATTCTTTCAGCTGCTTCAAGCTGAAAGAACAGCTTCCTCAGCTACAACAACTGGAGCAAAGCTCCTTAGAGAAAAATTTAGTAACACTAGCAAGCTTGGAGACAAGACAATCGGAGAGATTTACTGCTGCCGTAACACTGAAGATGGCCTGTGTGACTGTGGGCAAGCCTTTGGATGAGGTTTTGGAAAGGCTGAGCACTTAAAACTCCCCCTGAAGTTCCTGCAGGCCCAGGGTCTGTGTGCTTAGGAAAATCTGGCCCTTAATCTTCAGCATTTCTCTCTGAAACCAGATGAGGGTAAAAGGATCTTTTGTATTGACCTCAGAGAGTCAGACCAGGCCCTCACTTACAGGGTCCAGTATGAATTCATAGGGTTTTATTTTTTCTGTCATGACAGGTCACCTGTCATTGAGAGAGGACTGTGAGTGCACCTACCTGTACAAGGAAGAGTTGTCTTGTGTTTAGAGAAACTGAGTCAGAGTTCTTGGGAGCTGCTGTTGTATCACACTGTGACTTCTGGCAGGAAAATTCACCTTAGTTTTTCAGTTAACCTGCCTGTAATACCTCTACCACACAAGCATGGTGGTAGTTAATTGTTATTTATAAAGTGCTTAGGGATTGCTGGAGATAAAGCCCTCTAGAAATTAAAACCATAGTCATTTGCAGCAGCCAGATAGCAGAAGAAATCAGTAGCTGGGCAGACAGACTAGCTGTTCAGATCCCTGTTGCCGCTGCTTGGGCACGGAATGTGTTAAACTGCAGCATGCAGAGATGTTTCTTATTCATTAACACCCTTATTGCATGATGAAAGGGAAGGCAAACTCTGCGACCATTTTGCTGATGTTAAGGATTTCATACACATAATAAATTATACGTGAACATCGTTGCCATGCATCCATCCCAGAATTCAGCCCCTCAGGGACTCAATCATGCTGTTCTCCTGTAGCTAGGAATATCAATGCACCGAAACAATGAGCTAAATCTACACGTATCTCATCAGTGGATGTTATGAAGATAACATAAAAGGGGAGTGAAGGAATGTGGACCTCGCTCCCTACCTGATCGGGGGAGAAGGTTACTGACCTCATCATCTAATGTAATAAACACCATCCAGGTAGGGAGCTATCACAGAGCCCCGAGCAATATGAAGCCCCACGGAATGAGATACAGCACAGTACATGCAACTTTCATAAAGATTTCTGTGTGGGTAGCTTTTGTTTTTGATAGGAAGAAAGGAGGAGGCTGTGTGCCCACTGATGAAATATGGGCCGGCGGCACCGAGCCTTTTCTCACAGCACCCTCGTGTGCTCTCAGCAGAAAATGCTCCGTGTCACCGGGGGAATGCTGTGTCTTTCTGCAACACTGTAACTTGTTGAAAGAACTCATTTAAATTAAATAGGACAGCCAGTACATATTAATTAAGTATCAATTGATTCTTTAAAGAGTACTTATTGAGGGTTCTCAAGTTGGGAAGGGATAAATCTGGCTGTCATGTAATTAATTCAGAATGACACAGGCAGCAAATGCATATTACATGTTTTTCCTCCGAATATTAACTTGTAAAGAATGTTTACATATCCAATTAACATTTAACAAGATAACCTTATATTACGTTAATTAGCTATCTGCTAATTAAAAACGTACCAAAATTAATATAGACATTAGGCAAGTCAACTGTATAACTGCTTACGCACAAGGGAAAATCAACACAAAATATTTGGAAAAGCTCTTTGAGGCAAAATATGTGAGGATCTCTCCCCGTTATCTCCCTGACACTGTTTCAGGATACTGGTATCTAGCCAAAGTAAACAAGAATCAGTGGGGTTTACTTTTTCTTACATACACGTATAATGATTTGCTCTCTGGGGCCACATCTCATCCCAGTATTGTTGGTCTCCATGGTTTGGGAGCCTTACAGAATTAGATTGGATGCTTTTCTTTGGTTTTGGTCTTAAATGTGGTGGATCAGAAAAGAAAAAAAAAAAGCAGGGGGGGAGGGAAGAGAGGGATTTAGAGAGCTATCTGACCATGTGAAAGATACCTTCCTTGCAGACTAATAAAATTACGCCTCGGTGCACAGTGAGAGGAGATTTTGGGTGGTTGCCTCTGTCCCTGTGTTTTAAAAGGACAGAAACATTCTTGCCTATTCCAATAAGACATTAAACAGCACAAGTGCAGTTTCCAGCCAGCACGTGGATGTGAATATTTGTCTTTGTGGACAATTCAATGTACTGTAAACATCTAGGAAAGCGTCTTGCTCCCATGAGTTTAACAGTTCACTCAATTATGTCTGCCTCATGTGTTTTATTTCTGAGTGTATGTGCATATGGATCTGTGTGTATGTACATATATACACACACGCACCTGTGAGTCTTGTTAAATGATTACTCTTCTTCCCAACTGTAGTACTGATTAAAGTACTTTAAGATAAAGTTGATCTTTTTGATACCATTGACAAGGCATTTACATTGAAACATTACAATATTCAGTTTTCATCTGAGTTTAATCATAATATACAATATATGGATATAATTTAATCACTTTAAGATTTTTAAGACCTATGTAGTTCAAAACCTGATAAGCAATAATAGAAGTAAAGAAGAGCTAAAGTGAAACACAGGGAGCATTAAAATTATAGAAGGAAAAAAAAAAGAAAGATAAAATAAACAGCGAGATGTAACAGTGAAGGGGAGTGGAGGAGGATGCCACAGAAAGTGCGTAGGAAAGAGACTGGTGTGGGAACAGGGAAGGCGGTGGAAGGTATGTGCTAAATTACTGGAAAAAGCTGAAAATAGGAAGTGATTCTGTGGGG